CAAAGAGTTCGTTCCGCCAGGACAAACAGTGAACCAACATTTTTACCTGGATGTGTTACGAAGATTACGATAGAGTGTGCGACGAAAACGGTCCGAAATATGGAGAAATGGGAACTGGTTGCTTCACCATGACAATGCTCCAGCCCACACAGCTTTGACAGTCCGACAGTTTTTGACAAGCTACAACACGGTGATTGTGCCTCATCCACCTTACTCACCCAACCTGGCTCCGTCGGACTTTTTTTTGCTTCCATGGATGAAGAGAAGTCTGAAAGGAAAGCGATTCCGTGATGTGGATGAAGTCAAAGAAAACACGCTAAAGGCTTTGAACAGTATCCAGCCTCAAGAATTCCAGCACTGTTTTGAGCAGTGGCAAAAGCGTTGGGACAAGTGCATTAATGCACATGGACAATACTTTGAAGGGGACTAATATACAGTTCAATAAAAATGAAAAAATTAAAAATTACAAAAATAAATTCCGGTTATTTTTGGGTCCCCGCTCATATAGTATGATTCCAATTAGTAACAGTTTCATTGAAATTTTGGACATTATATCGCCTGCTCACTTCATATGAAATAACCACCTGTGTTTGTTTGTTTTTAAATATAATACTTATTCATTGTTTTGATATCAAACAAGTTAACAATTTATGTGTCCACCATTAAATATCATTCACTGTTCTATCATATCTCAACCACTGAACTAAAATGTTGTGAAATACCTATTAGTGACAGTCATCAAGGGCTTCATATATGGCCTCCTACTATACCTAAGAGAGTGGCCAAAGAGATCTGATGGGTTTTGTAATTTACCCTTCTTTAACACTTTCTTACATTTATGTGTTATTAGGAAGATAAAGTTTGTGTGAGCCAGTTGCAAAATGGCACTACTGAGGCACTGCAAGAACTTGTTGGGAACTACTACAGCATTTACCAGCTGAGAAAGGTAATCTTTCAGTTTGTTGTGTCATGTAGGTGTTATCATCATGAATATTTTGATCTTGAGATATTTAAATTTAAGTGTATTTTAAGTACCCATTGCCCATTTCCAAGTTCAAAATTTGTTTTTTTGAGTTCCTTTGTCATACTTTCCTTTTGCACTGGAAGAGTTATGTAAATTCCTCTTATATGGTGTTTTAAACTCTCTGCTTTATACAGAGATACATCACGTGAGGTACCTTAAAAGTCAAGAAGTTTGAGACAGTGATTTTCTAAAAAATGTGTTATGTATTTTAAATATTGTCATTGAATGCCATCTAAAACAATATTGACCAGCACACATTCCAAACTATAACCACACATTATTCATGAGATTTCTCTTTTGACATGTAGAACAGGTAAGGTAAACTCAGACTGTGACCCTCTGAGGTGTATTGTAGGTGGTTACTAGCAATTTAGAGGAACCTGATACTGCCATCTTCAACACCAAGACCAAGGCTCCAGGTTCCTCTGAAATGTTGGGAACACCTACATGACTGTCTAACGACATTGATGGCAAGAAATTCCTCCAAAATATTGGTAAGCATCTACAAGACTACTGGCATGAGACAAACAATGCAGGTTATTCCAGGAAGTTAATAGCCACCTACAAGACTACCTGTTGAAACATGGAGGCATTGGGTTCCTCCAGAATGTTGGTAACCACCTACAAGGCTGTCCTCTGTATTTGGATGCAATAGGTTCCTCTAAAACATCAGTAGCCATATACTTACAAGATTAATCTTGAAGTTGGAGGCAGCAGGTTCTTTAAAAACATTGATAACCACATGCATGAACTAATGATGTCAGAACCCAGAAGATCAAAAACTGAACACTCAACACTATGACATCCTGAAGTGTCATAAGCCACATGAAGTTTCTGCATAATGCACTGTACTTTGCACTCTATGTTACATACAAAATAAAACATATTTTTAGATTTCATTTAAATCAGAACAAAATTAAACATTTAATGCCCGTAATATAATTTTCAAATCACTAGCAGGCATATTTGCCATGCTGATGTGGTTAATGGAATGGAAAGGTACAATTGTGATTTTACGTACCTCGTTGGTGGTGACCCGATCTAGAAAACCGAAATTAACAGTCATGGGGATTCATTGCGCTGACCATGGGACACTCTCTATCTGTTAAAGTTCGCACTAACTTCGTCGACAAGCGGCAGTTGCTCGGTGAGTATAGTTCACTTGCAGACTAAAACCACGTAGTTTTTTTTTTTTGGTGACCATCACTTATTCCAGATAAAGATTTGTTATTACAAATAAACTCTATTGCTGCAAAGCTAATTACACAAGAGACAGAATAGTGCATGGAATTCTACATTATTTGACTTGTAGTTCATTTAATATGAAATATACTAAAAATATGTTAAATGAATGATTGAATGTTAAAAATGTTAATGAGATTTGTGTCCTAGGTTAATAATATTTGTATGATTAAACCATTTTTGAGAATAATTTATAAGTATTGACTTGATTGGGGCACGAAACCTCCAAAGTCAGATCTATACAGTGCAACAAAGAAAATATAAATTTGTTCTTGTGTTTAACTAATTAAGGACTATGCCATGAAGGTGTATGGGGGAGTCGATATATAGATCCATATATTCTTGATCTCAGCCCTAGTTGGAGGTGAGTGGTCAGCTTCATGCCCCTGCCACTTTACCCTTGGTACCATTGGATAGGAGGCTGGGTGTGTCCCAGAGCCTCTCTGGACAACGTGGAGAAGAGAAAATTCTTGACCACACCGGTACTCGAACTCTGACCCCTCGGTCTTCCAGCATGTAGTCAGTCGCTATACCAACTGTGCTATTCCCAGCTTGTATTCAGTGCATCAGGATGCTGAAATAGAACATTATTTACTTGAGCTTCACATAAGTTATGGCTAACACTGCACCATTAGAGCCAAGAATTAAATTTTCATTTCAACTTTTATTGTAGATACTAAACACTACATTTCTTTAAGATCTGATATGTAGATTTGGAGTTGAATCATGCAGACAGGTATAACCCCCATTACACTTTGTGTGAAAGAATATAACATGTTCAATAGAAAGTCTTTAGCAAAACTCAAAAGGCTGTGTTTCTACTTAATAGATTTTTAGTCACACAAGTGTCTTACTTACTTAGGCACAGACTCTGTCTACATTAAATGAGGTTTGGGGTTCTTCTGGCAGTGACTGTCAAGAGAACTATCTCTTGGCATGTGACCGTTTTTTGTCTTGTGGAACTTCACTGATGTTCATATTGCTTCATGTCTGCAGGCAGGCAACTTTTACTATGGAACTGTTGCCATGTGCTTATTTGTAGGCATATAGGAGGTATTGCTCTGCAAGAAAATAACATCAATAAAGTAAGTACATTTCTGTGATGTGACCAGCTGATGTGCAATGGTGGTGTGGACCTGTTTCCACTCCATGATGCGTACTGCTACATAGATGGAGCAACACCAAAGCACCGAGCTGCAGAGGATCACCTGTATCATTGCATGGCATTACTATCAACAAGCTACAGTTTTTCATGGAGCCGTTGGAATCTACTGGCTGGAAGACGTAATTTGGTTTTGCAGATGAGAGAGTTTCTTGAGAGAAAAAGGCAGGTGAGAAATGGCTAAGCAGAAACAAATCTTGGTCCTCATAATCATGCATACATTTTATTTATATAAAGTGAAACCCACGTTTCATGATCCTTGATGTCATTTCTTTCCTCATTGAAAGCTCAATTTCATGGATCCAAAGTTAATAATATCGTTGTTAAATTTCCTCTGTTTAGACTTTTCTCTCTTTAGCATTTAAATCCACTGTTTCCAAAATAAACCTGTAATAAGAGTTTCACTGTACATTCATATGTATAAACCTGATTTTAGTCTTGCTTATTACTGATGACATTTGCTAACAGAGTGCCAAATAGAATTTTTGTACACCAAAAATGAAGTGACAGTTGTGTGGGAAAAATTAATAGGGAGTTTCGCAGATTGTACTCATCAACTATTAACTGAGGAAGGTTGAGTGTAATGAGCATATAGCAGACACATTTTTTTAATTACTATGTAACCTATTAGAAACTCAAAATCTTTTATGACATTAACTCACAAAACTACAGACTTTTACAGAAGCACTGTGATTTCATTCCAATGTGGATCTTGTTTTTGAGGAATTTGTAGAAGTGACTTTTATTCTTTATATTATTTATAGTAGGCCTACTTAATGTTGTTAACATGTTCATAAAATCTATTTGTAGCAACGAAGAGCATTCACAATGCAAATGTGCAAAGAATGCACATATAATCTCTGTGTATTCCAGTATGCATTACACCTTCTTGAGTTTGTTGGTTCTCTAGTAGGTTGTCAAAATCAATCACTTTTATTCAAGTGTATAACAAATTACAGTGTAGTCATACTTTATGTGAATTTGAAATAGTGCGTTATAAAAAAATATTACTAAAGTCTCCCCTTATGCACAAAGTTTAAAATAACACTACTCCCAAAAATAATCGTTAAGAATCATGTATATTGTTCAAAACTTGTCTCAAATTATCTGAGATCATCAGGGATGCATCCACACATAAAATGCAACCGGGCTCTACTGTCTTTTTGAATTAATATGAATTTTCCTGATTTCCATTTTTTGGCGCCATTGATTCATGATATTTTGTTAAATGTATTCAGTTTCCAACCTTAATTCTATCATGAAGTGTCTTAAAATTATGTGATGGATAGAGAGACAGGCTGGCGCTTTCTAATTACCATGTTACAAACAAAAATAATCAAGAGAGCAATCTTCTGGGATGTGGCACCGCATAGATATTGTGTTAACCGACGTTTCGGAGGAACGTATCCCCTCCATCTTCAGGGTAGAAGAAAAAAGAAGAAAATCCGCAAGTGAAGAACCAGTATGAGCAGGTGCAAATAGAATAATGTCAAGAATAAACCCAGCTGTGTAAGAGCAGGAAATAATAATCAAATAATCAAAGTAATCAAATTATTGTTGTTGTTACAGCAAGACTACTCCATCCTCCTTGTGACTCCCCAGAAGGCCTGCATTGTGGAGTGTACAGAAATGAGCCAGTCTTTCAGTGATGAATGTGTGCAGGGCATGAAAGTAAGATAACAGCATCTCACTCAATCTGTAGCACAGTTACCAGACTGCAGTACATACCATTGTGTTTAGATAAGAGAATATCTTGTCATTGTTTGAAGTGGGCTTTAGAAGCTGCAGGTATATCAGTTCACTGTCTGCATGTGTAGAGGAAAATGAAGATAAAAGTAGAATAAGCGTCCATATTCAACTCAGATTTATGTTTCTGTAGGGCTGTTGATTATAACTTTTAATCTGTGAACTGCCTACATTTAACCAAATGGAAATATGCTTTGTCATTGAAATGCAAATTAACCCATCATCAAATTACTATAATATAAATGTCACTTCACATTTGTGTGTGTGCATGCTTGCATTCATGTGCATATTTACATACTGAGCTTAAGTACAGTGAATTTCCCATTTAAGTTTGTCTCATGGAAATACCTTGAAACTTAAATAAAGAACTCTTCAAGTGGGGGTTATATAATTCAAACAGAAATTGACACTCGTTTATTAGTTTCATATATTTCCTTTAATCTAACAAAATGAATAAATATCTTTTACATAGGAACATGCAGTAGCATAGTTGGTTGAGACCCTATGCTACAAGCCAGAAAGTCATGGGTTTTAATCCTGATGAGGTCATTGGATTTTTTCAATTTACCTAATCTTTCCAGCCGCATTATAGCCCTGGGGTTGATTCAGCCTCTAACAGAATTGAGTAGCAGAAATCTTCTGGGGGGGGGAGGTAAAGACCAGCCGCTGTGTAAGGTTGACAATCTCACCACCATCTGTGAGCCGAATGTCTGGAAAATGTAGAAGCCTCTGCGTCTCACAACCATATGGGCCTCCACAGCCTGTTGCAGGGATAGCTTTACCTTTTTTATCTTTTACGTAAGTCTGAAGATAACAGGAAATACTGTGAAGTAAGTCCCACACAAATGTGGTTAATTTATTGCAAATGTTTTGACATAATTTGAAATCTGTGTAAGTCCAACAGTGCTTAAATGTTATAATATTTCATACATACATATTTGTTTCAGTGGATAATTAAAGCTAAAAAATTATATATATATGAGACGTATCATAACATGACATTACAATGTATTGTAGCATGTAGACCTGTTGCTAAGTAATGACTCTGTAAACAACACCCATCAATAAGCAGCAGATTCCAAACACACACCAATGGACAAACAGGGAAACGGTGTTTTCTATACGGTCCGTGTGATAGCTGCATGATACAAAAAATAGAAGGAAATCCATTCTTTGCTGAGCCATCACAAAATAATAGCACACCCAAACTAAATAGTTACTTGAGACAGCATATTTTATTTATTTTTTATCTTCCTCAAATTTAATTTTATTCTCCAGATCTCTTACTTATATTGCAACCATTAATATGCATAAATGAAACATGCTTTTCAACAATGTAGATAAAGCTCTCTTGCGAATTATGATGGTTCTTATGACAGTGTCTGGAAATTTCATATTGCTAGTTGTAACCACGTTTTCAAATTTAATCTGTTTTTAACTGGTGGTGGGGGAGACAAAATATTTCTTTTTATTCGTGTGGCAGCGTTAGGTTTGTGTTGGCCCTGTCAGTGTGTGGGAGTTCCATTATATTAATTATGATGAAGTTTTGAGAAAGTGAAGTGTTTTTAATGGAGAGGGGGGATTTCTCATTTCCTGAAATGGCATTTTAGACTTGTGACAGCCCACATTCAAGATTGACAGATTTCACGTAAACTTTGAGGTCTCTTTAATAAAGAAAGGTGATGCATAAACACTGCATTTACCCAAATGGAAAATTATTCCATATCTAAGACAACCTCTCACTAAGGATTATGCCCATACATAAAATGTGAATTATGTCTCAACTTCACACAGTTATTCATTCAGTCACTCAAGGAGCTGGGCCCTTCTTGTGAAGACGCCAGTTGTGCAGCTATTCAGGAACTTCCCTGTAGTTTATGGAACCTCAAGGTTCATTACTGTGCTCACAAGAGCCCTTCACTGGTGTCTATCCTGAGCCAGATTGATTCAGTCCATACCATCCCATTCTATCTCTCTAAGATCCATTTTAATATTGTTCACCCACCTACATCTTGGTCTTCCTAGCAGTTTCTTCCATTCTGGCTTTCCCATCAATATCCCATATGCATTCCTCTTCAACCAGATTTGTGCTGCATGCCCTGCCCGTCTCATCCTCCATGACTTGATCATTCTAATCTTACTTGGTGAAGAGTTTAAGTTGTGAAGCTCCTCACTGTGCAGTTTTCTCCAACTTCCCATCACTTCATGTCTCCTCGATTCTAATATTATCATCAGCACCCTGTTTCATACAGGCATTATATGTGAAAGATAATAAACATTCAAAAACATGTTATACATCGGCTAATGTCTGCTTTTGCACATTTATTGTCATTATGGTTCCCAGGTTCATTGCCTTTGCTCTAGTGGGAAATTAACACTTTGGTGTGTTCATGAAAACGCATCATGGTTTTTAGCTCCTGACCTCACAGTGTTTTTCTGTCTCTTTTTCTTTGCTATCCTGAGAGCATGAAATGGCACCAATTTTTGGCATGCGAGCAGTATCAACCAACTGCTTAATATGTCCAGAAACACAGTATATTTTCTACCCATGAAATCACGATAACCATTTTGTAATTCTGAAAATAAGGATGAAACCTAACTGTAGTAAATACGTGTATGTAGTAAACTGTGGACAGATTTTGCATACTGTAGTGATTGGATTTTCATTCACTAAATATGAGTAAAGGCAAAAAAATATAAAGTTTTCCCTGTGCTTATCTAATTGAGCACTATACTATGAAGGTGTATGGGAGAGTGGATGTATAGACCTACATTTTATTAACCTCAGCACCAGTTAAAAGTGAGTGTTCAACTTCATGCTTCCACTAAATGTGAGTAAAATACTAAAACAGTAAACGATAATTTTGGGAAAAATAATCATTATTTATAAAGAGTTTTGAATGGGACCACAAAAAAATAATGCAGAAGTCTGGAAAATTTTAGATCAACAAACCATAAATTGGGATTCTACTTCATCATGCCTTGAAGACATTTTGGAGGCTGAAGATAGCTCTTCACACACACTGCCATCCTTAGTTCTTGAGGAAAGTGAATAGTTAGCTTCATGTTTTGACCAATTTACCTCTGGAGAAAGGGCCCTGGGACATGTTGGGTGGAAATTGGGTGGGCTAAAAGCTCATTTGGATATAGTGACAAAGAAAACATTTCCTGCTTTGGCTGGAAATCAGACCCCAATCATTCAGTCTGTAGGAAGTTATGTTGTAAGGAGTGGACCATAAAATACGACCCTCATGCTGCACCCTTCAATGATCTATTGTATTTGCAAGCAGTTATGTTACTACAAACAAAAATGTATTTTTTTCTCTTGTATTTCATTAACAATCCACCAGGTTGAAAAATATTTAAATTAAAAATTACAGATGTTAATGACGTTCCCATTCCGAAAGCATAACCTGTCTAGTAAGTTTCATACAGATTAATTCATAAAAACACCTGCTCAGAGGCAGACAGATGGATGGATGGATGGACAAAACTTCTACATTAGTGTTCCATTTTTTCACTTGATAACAAGAATTCTTAAAGAACTAATATACCAGAAAAGGATTTATGATGTAATTTTATTTGTTCTTTGTTGCAGTTTTATTCAGATTTATATCATCTTGCATTAGACCAAGGTTCAGTTGCAGCAGTAGGGAAGATCAGCAATATACCATTCACTTTGGCTGAAACTGTGTTTGAAATGTTAGCAATGACAAGAGTGCTCAGTTTTTCCTAACAGTTTAATGATGATATTGTTGTGATAACATTTTTAAAGACACGTAAGTAGATTTATTTGTTTAAAACGCTTATTTTAGAGCATATACTATACTTAATGTAAAAATATTACAGAAATATAATTAGTACTTGGAAGTGAAAATCCTGATCTGTTTCCTAAAAAATTCTTACATACAGATTAGTGCACTGCTTGACAGCCTGTGCAAATATAATTTGTTAAATGTAAATAAAATCAAAAGTATCTGAAGGCAAGTGAGAGATGTTTGGTTTATCTTCCATAATATTGTATCACAATAAGCTTTTAGTTATGGCAGTGAAATCTGGATATTATTGATTAGAGATAAGCAAAAGTAAATACTTCACAGATTAAATACTGTACTTATAGCGTGTAATGGAAATATCAGTGAGCAAGAACATTCCATGTGACAGAATAAGAGATAAACTACAGACACATAGTTTATATGACACATGACTTAGCTGTAACAAAACGAGCATAAACAGAAGATTAGCAAAGAATAAGACCTTGGGAGACCAAATTGAGGCGAACAAACCAATTCCTAACACTTCAAAATATGTCAGACTCACATATTAAGCTGCTGTCCAGCTCTTTGTTGTGTTACATATAAATAAATGCCTTTTTATTATTTTATTCCTTTTATGTGATATTTATTATATCTATTTCCAGAGAGTTACTCCCCACTTTAAAAATAATAAGACATTTCAGAATTAAATTATTTGTGAAAAGAGTGAAGACTAAATATATGTAATAGTAAGCAGTTATTCTGTTCTTGAATATTTAGGGCATAACATCATTACTATTCCAGAGCAATTTATAAGCACTGCCCACCATGTAAGGAAATATCAGGAGAAAATATATCTATAATAGACCTTGGACATGAAGACCCCAGTCTTCTGGGATAAAACGTCATGTAGTGCATTGAAAGTTGATAAATGTTTTGGAGGAACATTTACCTCCATCTTCAAAGTCAAAGAATAAGCTGAGCACAAAACTAACATTAAGCAAGTAGAAAGCAAAGAAAGCTTTCAACAGACTACATGGTGTTATATTAAAAGGACAGGAAGGACTCTTCATAACAACCACTGTGAGAACCAAAAATCCTATAATGTTATACATTACTTTAATGGAGTAATTTCATACCCAAGAAATAATAATGTTGATATCAATAAAATATTTTGAACATTTTTACAGAGATTAAACTTATTAAATTACAGACCTTACACACTGTGAAGATGAAGAGGAGAGACATTACTCAGTAGAGTCACAACTGATATTTTCCTGAAGGGTATTATTTGCCAGTATGTAACATCATATTGTCTTACAGAAAGCCAAAGCCACACATCAGTCTTACAAAGGTTTACTAATATTTTAGAAAAAAAAATTACCTCCATATTCAGTGTCCAAGAATAAGCCAAGCTTGCAAGCAAGCTGCAAGCAGCATCCTTGCTTGCTTGACTCACTATTCAACCCAGAAGATGGAGGCATTATGTCCCTTCTAAACACTCGCAAACTCTTGCTAAATTCTAAGATATCACATTCCAGAAGGTAGTGCTTTTCTTAGTCATTGCCATGAAATCTCCAATCTTATGTAATTTATTCCCATTAATTCATAGTTTATTTATTTATTTACTTATTTACTTCACATTCATGCATCATTATACATGATATAGGACAAGTCAAATACTTTACAATACAATAAATAATAATAATAATAATAATAATAAAATAATAATAATTTAATAAATACTATAATGAT